GTGGAGCGCTGGCAGCGCACCATCAAGTCGAAACTGTTTAAGCGGTTTACACACACTGGAAATTACAATTATGTTGATGGGCTTCTGTCTGATGTTGTGAGTGCATACAACCATACTTATCACCGTTCTATTAAAATGAGGCCAGTGGACGTTACACCCGAGCGTGTCCTGGAGGTATATAATAACTTGTACCATGGACTTAAGCCCACAAATAACAAAACTAAGTTTAAAGTAGGAGACTATGTCCGAATCAGTCGTGAAAAACAAACCTTTGAAAAAGGGTACACATGGAACTGGAGCGAGGAGATATTTCAAATCGTTCAGGTCATTCCTTATTCGATGCCGGTGTACAGGCTGGAAGATCTCGATAAGGATGCGATTCAAGGCACGTTTTATGAGGCCGAACTTCAGAAGGTCACCAAGCCCGAGACGTTCAAAATAGCATATATAGTGCGCTCCAAAGGCAAAAAGGGTAGTCGTCAGCACTTTGTTCACTGGAGAGGTTATCCTGAAAAAAGTCGCTCCTGGATTTTGGATTCAGATCTCGTATAATGGATTTTTATACTTTTCTTCCAAGTAACGCTAGTCCGAAAATTTATCCGGACAATACTACATCCCATTTTAAAACACAACTCGACCAGCGCATGGAACTGCACGGTCATTGGCAAGCAGCTCTCATTGAACTGCACTACCCTAACACGATAGCACAAGTCGTGTAGGGAGAACACGAAATAACAATTGTGTCGGACAGTGTCATTGACACGGTTGCTGTTAGACCTGGCTCGTACAGTAACGCAAAAGATTTCCTGATAAGTGTGAGTGACGCTCTGCAAAGTTTTGAGGAAGATGCCATTCAGGACACAGAGTATTACGAACTTCTTTCTGACCAGCGCGTTAAGTTTTCTCCATTCGATATGGATGATAAATCTAAAGTGCACTTTTCACCTCGCCTTGCACTCCAGCTTGGCTTGGCACATGCGGGCCCCTATTCTGCAAACGAACACATTTTTTGCGTAAAACCAGTTGACATCAGCTTGGGGATGCCTTCACAAATGTTTGTATACATAGACATTTTGTCAGATCAGATTATCGGTCACACACGCGCCCCACTCCTTCGCACGGCCCCCGTAGACATTAAGGCACAGCACGGGACGATGTCAGTAGTTCACTTTGACCATCCGATTTACTTCGACCTCAGAACGAAATCATTTGACGGTCTGGAAATAGATATAAGGGACCACGCGGGGCGCCACATGCCATTTCAGTTTGGAACGTCAACCTTGTTGGTTCACTTTCGACAACTCTCGTAAAGATGGTTCACCATATTACGCAGTATTACCTTAATCAGGCCGGTGGTGGCCAGTACTATGCCGGCAGCAGCTATCAGAAAGGCCACGGGATTGGTTCGTGGTTGGGCGGGCTGTTCCGTACCGTTTTCCCTCTCCTCAAAAGCGGCGCGGCCGTTGTGGGGAAGGAAGCGGCCCGGGCTGGTAGTCACATTCTCGCTGATGT